TTTATTTTAATAATAGAAACTGGTTTGAGTGATACATTTATCATGTTCTTCATGTAACCAATTTATTTTTTCTGAACGTTATGTGGAAACTTTATTTTGTGAATAATTTAGTGTACTTCGCATCTAGTTCTAAATTTGTACTCTGCCTATAAGGGTACAAAATTTCTAACCGGTCCTCCAGGGATTCTAACTGATCTTTACCAGGTTTAACTGGTCCACTCCAAGAACATGTAGTTTTATTTTATTTCCATTTTATCAACTGGAGATGTGAATTTTTTAAAGAAAGACAAATAGATATGAATGTAACATTAAACAAAACTCTTTCATTGAAAACAACAGTTTCTGATTATATCACTCTTGGAATGCACATAATCTTTATATTAATCCAAATAAACACATACCAAAAATAATGTTACTTGAGATTATTATTTTAATAATGACCAAAAGGTAAGGAACATTCATATGTTCCAAGAACCTCCTTTTCATTTCAGACGTCGTAGGGATTTTCCATAATGTTTAATGATAGACCAGGGATCCCCAGGAAGCTAGAGGCTCCATTGGGAGATTGAAGTAAGGTAAAGTTTTTCATGAGTCGAAAATACAACTATGGTTTGAGGGTAAAACTTTAGAAATGCACGTTTGATGACAAGGTAAAATAGGAAAATTGCTCAAGATTCTAATCGGTCCAACGTGGCTGATTAGATTACTATTATTATTTGCTGTCCTGGTAGTCTCGTGAGCCTCCTAGCTGGCCAATACTGACTAAACGACTCGAATTTCGGACTCTGCCAATTAAAGCAGAAAAACTAATTTAGGCTAAACGTTTACTGAATTAACCAAACACATATTAGAGTCATCTTTACGGATGTTCAGAGGTTTTATCTGCCCTCGCTAATAATTTGTTCAGTGTTATGAAGTCTGTCATAGCAGAGTGCGACGCGCTGGACTGTGAATCCGAGGGTCCATGGTTCATATCTTGTTGCTGCCAAACAGCGCTCCGCAAGTTGTAGCCTGGAACGCGTTATAAGAGTGATGGTGAAACCCCACCATGATTAGAATAGCCCAACATTTGGCGAGCGGTGTATTGACCAGCTACCTTCCCTCTATTCTATCATTTCAAATTTAGGGACATCTAGCACAGAGAACATTTGCGAATATACAAAACAAACTGTCACCACGGTGATTTTTTTTTTATTGTGGTTATACCATAAGTTATCTTAGAAAACTGATAAAAATATCTGACGTTCTTCCTTTAGACTTTTACAATTTCTTAAAGCAGTGATTCTTTGGTTCTTGATGATAATACTCCCTACCTCGAAAAAACAGCACTCAGTCGACTGGTACTAAGTCTAACCGCGTATGTGTTCTTTATGTAGAAGACTAATCTCGTGTGAGTGCAATTAACTTCCTTCTGTTGTTATGGTAACTGGAAGTAGCGGGTGCTTTTGAACCAATGTATGTGATCATTGGATAGACGAGAGTTTTATCAGTAAGAGTAATCATTTAACCGAGGTCGTTCGGACAGAAAACGTTTTGTTGCGAAGTTAACTATCAGTAATTTATTTTGTTGTTGAATATCGCAAGTCATAAAACTGTTGCCAATGGGAAAATTAACGACTGAGATCTTAGGCCTAGGGTTTTCTTTACTTAGAAAATGCACCAATTTTCTAATTAAAACGTGCGCTTTTAAAATTGATCACACCCCGGCATTTGGTTGTTTGGAATATTTACGATGCTGTGCTACATATATCTTTGAATTGCTGTGGCAGTGTAACGATATTAATTAATTCACAAGCTTGACTGATTTACAGCAGTAATATTTATGTTTTAAATAATTTTGCGTGATTTTTCGAATAACTTCAATGCGAACTGGGTCATATATGTATTTCTAGAATATTTTATAAAGGGATTTGTTCCTAATAATCCTCAATATTAAGTTTCACCTTGATATGAACAGACAGTATAATATGAGCGAAAGCAAAGTGGAATGTTATAATATGTCAACCACAGTACATCTGCCCATATCCAGTGCCGACAAGGCCTTTCATCTATTACAGGGCTCATCATCATGCCGACACACATGCCCATTATTTGTGTTTCTAGTGACATATGTAATATGAGAGTATGGATCTTGTATTTATTGTAGATTGAATATTCATGGTTCGAGTCCGTGATATTCGGGTAAGGGTTGCCGTGTATGTGCTGCTGATTGGTTGTTGCCCCCAATAGTTAACAGTTTTAAGTTAGGGAACGGATATGTAATCAGGCCAAACATAAACTGACTGATACTTACAAGAAATCAAGCATGCTGCGATATAATGTTTCTATTCATTTTGTATTTAGCCGCCAGTTTTTAGCCTTCTCACTCTTGTTCTTGAATTTCATGGTTTAGTAAATAAAACATTGATTTTTACAAGTATTTTAAAACGTAAAGTAGATGACTTTTCTCCCACTCCAGACTGTTATTTAAAGACCCTGTGCCACAGCTGTATCTCCTTGAAGAGTATGAATTATACTCGTCGTTTCTACTCATAAACTCTTTATTATACCCTATTACATTTTACAGTGCTTTTGTTTACTTAATCAATAGAGTATAAAACATCTAAAATGTGGATAGGATAAAAACAAAAACGGGTACAGATATCAACGTTTCACCTGTATTAACCAAGGTAAGACTGCTGTAGTAGTAATGGTATAGTATTTTTTCTATTATAAAAAACAAACAACCTGTAGTTGAACTGGCTTCCACTATATTATACGTTAACGTTTACTTTATATGGCTCTATTATTTTTTTCCATTTTGTACCTTTTTTATTATTGTTTAAAAAGTTCAAAACGTTGAATTGATCACTAAAGAGCATTTGTCTCAAGGGCTACTATCGATTTCATCAGGAGGTTGTATCATAATTGACCATTTCTGTCCCTACCCCAGTGGCTCAGCGGCAAGCTTCAGAGCGTATAAAACTAAAATTCGAGATTCAGTCTCCTCGTTTGAACAATGCACTATTAATATACGATTTATTTTGTTTTGTTTGTTTTTTGTAAGACTAGAGGGAAGGCAACTAGTCATCACCACCCACCGCCAACTCTTGGGCTACTCTTTTACCAACGAATAGTGGGATTGACCGTCACATTATAATGCCCCCACGGCTGAAAGGGCGAGCATGTTTTCGAACCCGCGACCCTCAGATTGCGAGTCGAGCGCCTTATCCACCTGGCCATGCCGGGCCTTATTTTGTTTTACTGTAAAGTTTTGTTAATCATAGTACTAACTTGAACAATATATTTAATTTGTTGACCAGTCTTCTGATAATATGGCTGAATAGCCGAGTATATAGAACTGCTTTCCTTATGGGTTATTTGTTAGAAATATTTTCTTTTTTCTGTATTTTCGGTTTCAGCATTATTTTCTGGTAGCGTAGCTCTTTTGATGCGTTTCACATTAGCAAGGCTTGTGAAATTTAATATAATTTCGTTACGGTTTTTTTGTAGAAAAATAATGTCTTTTTTTATTCAATCGATACATGACTTCTAAAGTAGTTTAAAAAATCCGAAACTATATTTTAATATTTTCGTTTGTATAAGGCGAATTCTGGGGGGGCTCGTCATTTTCCCTTCAACCTCCCTGCTGTGACGTAAAATTGTAAAGAACGATTGCTTCTTGAGACTCATCTCTGTAACTATATACTTCACTTTGTGTTGCAGAATTATAAGATCAGAGACAAACCAAA